ATTTTCAACTTCAAAATTTTATTTTTTCACCGCTACACTCGATCCCCCCCCCAAAACCACCCACCCACCCACCTCCTACCCAGCCCCCCCCCCCCAAAAAAAAAAATAATTTAAGTTTGTTTTTAAAAAATATTTTCAACTTCAAAATTTCATTTTTTCACCCTACCCTTGACCCCCCACCCACGCACCCCTACCAGCCCCCCACCCCCCTCCAAAAAAAAAATTTAAGTTTGTTTTTAAAAAATATTTTCAATTTCAAAATTTCATTTTTTCATCCCTACCCTCAACCCCCCACCCACCCACCCCCCTACCAGTCCCCAAAAAAAATTTAAGTTTGTTTTTAAAAAATATTTTCAATTTTAAAAATTTCGTTTTTTCACCCCTACCCTTGACCCCCACCCACTCACCCCCTACCTTCCCCCCCACCACCATCCCCAAAAAATAATTTCAAGTTTGTTTTTAAAAAATATTTTCAATTTCAAAATTTCATTTTTTTCAATCATACCCAGCACCCCCCTCTCCACCCCAAAAAAAAATTTTAAGTTTGTTCTTAAAAAATATTTTCAACTTCAAAATTTTATTTTTTCACCCCAACCCTTGAACCCCCTACCAGCCCCCCACCCCAAAAAAAAATTAAGTTTGTTTTCAAAAATTATTTTCTACTCTAGTAAAAATAAAAGATATTTCTCGAAAATATTTTTCATTCATAAATCAAACACTAAAAATCTTTTCCGAAAAATATTTTCTACTCACCAACCAAACATGAGAAAATAAGTCAAAAATCAACTTGTTTTCCAGGAAAACATTTTCTAGGAAATCATTTTCCTTCATACCAAACACACCCTAAATGTATTTTACTGATTGGTCAAGCATTCTAGTTTTTCAGAAAAAAGTGTTTTTTTTTCAAAATAAGTATATAATTTTTTAGCTTACTAGTATACATGCCCGCGCGTTGCACGGATGATTTAAAATTTACTAATTTCATAATTAAAATAACTAATAAAATGTATTATGCACATATAATATATTTAATTTATAATAATAATAATATACAAATCATTAACTGATTTCTTTGAGCACATTAAATTAATATTATAAATACATAATTCGTTTTATTGTATTAAAATATTATATATATAGTTGTATCAACTACGCTTAAGTTTTATAAGAGAAAATGGCCAAATGACCCCCAAATCTATTGCCGGATTTCCAACTACACACTTATACTTCACGGGGGTCCTATTACCCCCTGAGCTATTTTAAAATGAAATTATTTTCTCCCTGAAATGTCATTACCAGACATGTGTCTTGTGGTGAAATACACGCACTTGACACTTGTATTTAACCATTTAATATTTTTTCTTTAAAAAAATTTCTCCTCCTTCCTCTTCCTTTCTTCCCCAATCATTTTTTCAACCCTGACTATAATAAACATCATTTTTTACCTCAATAAATTTCTATATCTCTAACAATTTATAAAAACGAAAATTCAAGTCACCTTTTCTCTTCCCCATTCTTTATTCTTTCTCCCTCTAAAATTTTCATAATTAATTTATAATTTGAGTTTTTGATTTTGATTCTTCATGGGTTTTAGGAGAACATGTAGGATACTTCTTTAAAAATGTAGAAGATAAATTGTTTTTTTTTAGTTTCTTTTAGGGAAAAGAGTCTGAAAAATACTCCAACTTTAGCTGAAATTGCTGTTACGATACCAAACTTTATGGAGAACCTTTTACCCCCTGCACTATTTAATAGTGTATTTGGACACATTACTATTTCAATGATGCAATATTTATGATGTCCACGTAGGCACATCTATTTAAAATACATTGTTAAATAGTACAGGGAGTAAAAGGTCATTTCCAAAGTTTGGTATCGTAACAACAATTTCGGCCAAAGTTGGAGTATTTTTCAGACCCTTTTCCCTTTCTTTTAATAAGTTTGAAGATATTTTTTAAATATACAATTACTTCACTTATATTTTGTTACTCTTGATTCCATTACTTTAAAAAAAATTAATTAATGGGTATGTTTTTTTAAAAATAAATTTAATTTGTTAGATATGTTCTAAATAAGTCTATTGAAAAATTATTTATTCATAAAATGCATTAGTTGTTGATAATTTTTATACTAAACATCCATTGAAAAAGCTTCAACAATGATAATAGTGAAAAATGTATAGTTGTATAGATAAATAAGAAGAAAGAAAGAGAAAGAAAAAAGGAAATTAGAAAAAAAAATGGAAATTAAAAAAAAAATAGGCAACTCACTCTCTCAAAGATTGGCATATACTCTCTATGCCAATTCAGCACTTAAGGGGTTATTTATTCCATTTTAAAGTAGTTCAGGGGGTAATAGGACTCTCGTGAAGAATAGGTGTGTAGTTGGAAATTTGGTAATAGGTTGGAAGGTCATTTGGCTATTTTCTCAATTTTATAATATATTATGTTTAAATTTTTCTAAGGATACTATTAATTTTATAATTATTTTTTCCTGATCAAATATGAAATACTTTTTAAATATTTTTATGTGTTTGTATTTTATTCTTTTTATGTAGTTTGAATAAAAAAATTATGTTAATAATTTATTAATTTTAACATTTCATATAAAATATTTGATATCATGAGATTAAATGGCATGTTGATATATTTTTTGTATATGTTTTATTCAAAATCCAAAAAAAAATCAAAATATTTTTTCCGTATTAAATTTATGTAAAATTATAAATAATTAGCAAAAACAAAAATAACAATATTCCAATATTGCTTGTTTTTCTGTTATACGACCCTAAATTATAGCATCATCATTTGTACGTACAATTCTCTGCCAAACATTTTGTTAAAATATTGATACAAAAGTTAGGCTAAATTTATTTGTGTTTTAACTCTATGTAACTCTAAACATAAATTTTTAGTTCCTATAGCAGCATTAACAAAAAAAAGAAAAAAAGGCAAACAATTATTATTATTTTTAAAAAATTCTATTTGATGAGGTTTACTAACATGTTTTTTCTTATCTTTATAATATTTTAGATTATAGATACCTTTTAATTCTTTTTTAAAGCAATAAAAACTCTCTGTGCACTTTATAGATTATAGGTTTATTTTAAAAATATTTAAGCAATAGAAATTCTCTGTAAGCAACTATTTAAAAAATACACATGCAAAAAAATAAAAGAATTATTAATCTTAGAAATATAGATACAAAGAAACAGAAAAATATTTTTTTATTGTGTTTAGAGGAAATAAAAAAAGAAAAAAATATATGAGCATCGTAGACCATCTTGTTCTCGCAATGCACAACAATATTCATCAATGTTTCAATTGTGATATTCTTCACACGTAATTTTTATTTTTCACTTGCGTATGTCTTTCTTCGTTTCTTCACAACTGTCAAAACACTTATTATCATCATTCCACTGTAATATGCAGTTACCTATATACAATTCATTTTACAAAAGTAAAATCACAAACAAATAAGGCTAGTTATTATTCATTTTTGATGAACAAAAAAAAAATTCTAAAAATACATGACAACTTACCTTGACAAAATAAAGTTTAGGAGTTCTTTGCCTAATGGAGAGTAAATTCCTTTCAACAATTGCAAGGGAGAAGTTTAAAGGTAATGAAATTTTAAAGTGACCAGTTATATTTAATTTAGGACTTTATATAATTTTTAAATAATCAATACATCCTTCACTTATTTATTTAGTTGACTGCTTAAAATTTAAAATTTAAAATTCAAAATGAATTGATTAATAGTTATCCAATCCTTCTTTTTAGCAACATGGAAAAGAAGTTTTAAAACTCCCTATTTAATTGGATAAGTATTCTTTTTAAAATAAAGATTAATAATTTGTTTTTGAAATTGTAATTTTGCAAGCCTAAATTATTTTCTCGAACGAACCGCACTCCTTCGTATACGTCAGGAGTCCATTGATGAGAAGGGGTTGGGGAAAGCTTGAACCCAATTCCTATGGTAATGAATATGAGCGCAATTGAAATTCCTAGGGAGTTATACATTTGTGTATTGATAAGACCGTTTACTATTTCTTGAAGCTCAATCTCTCCCCCGGATGAACCATATAGCCAAGAGAAACCATGAACCAGAATAGAAGAGCTTGCCCCACCCATGAGTAAATATTTCATAGTAGCCTCAGACCCCTTATGATTCACTTTAGAACTCGTGCCCTAAGCCTGACCTTCAACGATGCTAGGTCTCGGGGTAAGCCCTTCGTCGCTGCGTTCCGGTCGATAAAATCCTCCGAGTGACTGACGACTTGTGAGCTCGCAGGGCTCATAGGATGGGAAAAGCCCCTCTCTTCATTTCATTATTTCATTGACGGGTTTTCACGACGTAAGCCAGTGGAAGCAAATGGGCAATCGGCTGCCTAAAGGACCCCATTTGTGGTTGAAGGCTAAGTTCATTCTTCGATATATCTCACTCCGCTATGCTAGAAGACTGAGCAGCTTCAGTTTATTACCAACCTCGGGTTCAACAACTATTGGGTAAAGCCTAAACCTTACTTCTTTCCTTCTATCGGAACTGGCAACAGATCTCTAGAACCGATGCAACTAGAAGTCAGTCGATTCCGTCTGAGAATGATTTCAGTCTAAACCCTTTTTGTCGAGTGAAACTCCCCTTCTTAAGAGCTTATTTGGATAGACTCACTCCCTTACTCGCTGTCTTATATTCCACTCGCTTCCTTTGGAAAAAGAGTCAGAGGGGGAGAACTGGAAGAGAGAAGGAAAAAGAGCAAAGGATTGACAAGTCTAATGGGGGAAGAATGGCTGACACGGGGGAACGGGAGAAAAAAACCTCGTTTTTCTAATCGGACAAAAGAGTGGAAATCCCTGCTGCAGCAGGAGGAAGCAATTGATCACATTCTCAGTCCCTCTTCCCGAAAGACTTCCTTTTTTGAAACTAAACCCTCCTCCTAAAGGAGAAGGAGGAGGAGTAGGAGCTAGCCTTAGGGGCGGAATCTATTCTAAAATACAAAAATGAACGAGTTATTAGAAGCTGTCGCGCCTTTTGTGACAGGTTTACAAGAAACTTTGAGCGGGAGACAAGGGGCGAACCCGCAGGTTCCCGATGCCCTACCTGAAGCCCCATCGCAGGGTCCCCATTTTCCTCTACCTGAAATAGTTGGGCAAGAAAGGGGGGAACCTTTTTTCATAAGAAGAAATGAAAGTATGGAGGCCTCTATGCTCAATCGAATAAGAAAGCTCGAAAGGCAAAATAGCCTTTTTCTGCTTTCTAAAGCAAAAGGGGAGTATTGGTCAGAAGTAAAGACCACACTCCACAATTGTGGCTCTCAGAAAGAGTATTACAGGTTACTGTGTTTCGAGAACAGAGATCTGCAAATCAGGGAGAGAAAACATGAATGTTTTTTTCTCTTTCAAGAGATTCTTTCTCGGAATCGTGCCTTGAGGGGGGATGCTGCCAATCCTACCGAGGACTTTATGGATTTCTTTTCCGGGAAGCAAGAGGTACTGGACAAAAACCCCGAATGGGGCCCGATAGAGAAAGACATAAAGGAAATTGAGTTCGTTGAGCAAGTAAAACTCGATCTTGCAGCACGCGGGCACGAGTCTCCCTATATAAAGCAAATTCTTGGGTTAGGGTGAAATCCGGAGATCTACGAAAGAACGCTAGCTATATGCTTAACACATGCAAGTCGAACGTCTACGAAAAAGCTGTCGTAAAGTTTCGTTCTTCGTTCTTGCAAATTTTATATCCATACATTTTTTTTAGTGTTTGCAAGTTTAAACTTCTTTATCTTTTGGCATTTTTAAAATTTAAAAACTAGATAGAAATAGATATATAGACATTGAGACTACCGCTTAGATTATATTAATTACTAATATATTTCTTTGGTGCAAAATACATATAATTTTGATTAGTTTTTCTCATCGAGGGTTTTATATATAAATGAATTATTCTTTTTGCTATATATAAAATATTAAACATTTTATATATAAATGCAGTAATCTATTAATTTAAAATAATAGTGAATTAGTATTTTTAAAATATTGAATTTAGAAGTTTTGGAAAGATAGTTAATATATTTCGCATTAAAAATGTTTTGTGTTCTTAAAACAAAATAAATAGATAGTGAAAACTTTGTAAATCCAATATTTTATAAGCTTTTAAATTTTAATAATAAATACAATTATTCCCTAATTTTTATAATTGATTTAAAATTATTTTTTAAAATAATTTTATTTATTTTAAAAAAACAATTTTCTTAGCATTATCTTAAATATTTATCATGAAAGTAAATTTTCATTTTTTTAAAAAAAATAAATTATTTTTTTACTAATTTATAAATTGGATTTAAAAAATATAAAATATGTTTTAAAAAATGTTGACTGTTTTCATTATTTGTGTATTGGCATGTGTCTATTTTCTAGGATACTATTAATTTTATAACTATTTTTTCTTGATCAAATATGAAATATTTTTCAAATATTTTTATGTGTTTGTACTTTATTCTTTTTATGCCGTTTGAATAAAAAAATTATGTTGATAATTTATTAATTCTAACATTTCATATAAAATATTTGATATTATGAGATTAAATGGCATGTTGATATATTTTATGTATATGTTTTATTCAAAATCCAAAAATAATTCAAAATACGTTTTCCCTGTCAGATATTTTGTTATATTGTTTAAAAAAATAGGCTAAATTTATTTGTGTTTTAAAACTATGTAACTCTAAACATAAATTTGTAGTTCCTATGTATTAGCAGCATTAACAAAAAAAAAAAAAAACAAGGCAAACAATTATTATTTTTTTTAAAAAAATCTATTTGATGAGGTATACTAACATGTTTTTTCTTATCTTTATAATAATTTAGATTATAGATCCCTTTTAATTTTTTTTAAAGCAATAAAAACTCTCTGTGCACTTTTTAGATTATAGGTTTATTTCAAAAAAAAAATTAAGCAATAAAATTCTTTGTAAGCAATTATTTAAAAAATACACATGCAAAAAAACAAAAGAATTATTAATCTTAGAAATATAGATACAAAGAAACAGAAAATTATTTTTTTATTGTGTTTAGAGGAAATACAAAAAGAAAAAATATCTGAGCATCATAGGCCATCTTGTTCTCGCAATGCACAACAATATTCATCAAGATTTTAATTATGACATTCTTCACACGTAATTCTTTTTTTTTCACTCGCGTATATCTTTCTTCGTTTCTTCACAACTGTCAAAGCACTTATTATCATCATTCCGTTGTAATATGCACTTACCTATATACAAATCATTTTACAAAAGTAAAACCACAAACAAATAAGGATAGTTACTATTCATTTTTTATGAACCAAAAAAAATCTAAAGATATATGACAACCTACCTTGACAAAATGAAGTTTAGGAGTTATTTGCCTAATGGAGAGTAAATTCCTTTCAACAATTGCAAGGGAGAAGTTTAAAGGTAATGAAATTTTGAAGTGATCAGTTATATTTAATTTAGGACTTTATATAATTTTTAAATAATCAATACATCCTTAACTTATTTATTTAGTTGACTATTTAAAATTTAAAATTTAAAATTCAAAATGAATTGATTAATAGTTATCCAATCCTTATTTTTAGCAACATGGCAAAGAAGTTTTAAAACTCCCAATTTAATTGGATAAGTATTCTTTTTAAAATAAAGATTAATAATTTGTTTTTGAAATTGTAATTTTGCAAGCCTAAATTTTTTTTTTACTGTTTGCAAATTTTATATCCATACATTTTTTTTAGTGTTTGCAAGTTTAAACTTCTTTATCTTTTGGCATTTTTAAAATTTAAAAATTAGATAGATATAGATATATAGACATTGAGACTACCGCTTAGATTATATTACTTACTAATATTTTCTTTGGTGCAAAATACATATAACTTTTATTAGTTTTTCTCATCGAGGGTTTTATATATAAATGAATTATTCTTTTTGTTATATATAAAATATTAAACATTTTCTATATAAATGCAGTAATCTATTAATTTAAAATAATAGTGAATTAGTATTTTTAAAATATTGAATTTAGAAGTTTTGGAAAGATAGTTAATATATTTCGCATTAAAAATGTTTTGTGTTCTTAAAACAAAATAAATAGATAGTGAAAACTTTGTAAATCCTAGCTTTTAAAAAAATTAAAATCGAACTCCAATATTTTATAAGCTTTTTAAATTTTAATAATAAATACAGTTATTCCCTAATTTTTATAATTGATTTAAAATTATTTTTTAAAATAATTTTATTTATTTTAAAAAAACAATTTTCTTAGCATTATCTTAAATATTTATCATGAAAGTAATTTAAAAATAAATTATTTTTTACTAATCTATAAATTGGATTTAAAAAATATAAAATATGTTTTAAAAAATGTTGACTGTTTTCATTATTTGTGTATTGGCATGTGTCTATTTTCTAGGATACTATTAATTTTATAATTATTTTTTCTTGATCAAATATGAAATACTTTTCAAATATTTTTATGTGTTTGTACTTTATTCTTTTTATGCCGTTTGAATAAAAAAATTATGTTGATAATTTATTAATTCTAACATTTCATATAAAATATTTGATATTATGAGATTAAATGGCATGTTGATATATTTTATGTATATGTTTTATTCAAAATTCAAAAAAAATTCAAAATACGTTTTCCCTGCCAGATATTTTGTTATATTGTTTAAAAAAATAGGCTAAATTTATTTGTGTTTTAAATCTATGTAACTCTAAACATAAATTTGTAGTTCCTATATTTTAGCAGCATTAACAAAAAAAAAAAAAGGCAAACAATTATTTTTTTAAAAAAAATAATCTATTTGATGATGTATACTAACATGTTTTTTCTTATCTTTATAATAATTTAGATTATAGATCCCTTTTAAATTTTTTTAAAGCAATAAAAACTCTCTGTGCACTTTTTAGATTATAGGTTTATTTCAAAAAAAAATTAAGCAATAAAATTCTCTGTAAGCAATTATTTAAAAAATACACATGCAAAAAAAAACAAAAGAAATATTAATCTTAGAAATATAGATACAAAGAAACATAAAATTATTTTTTATTGTGTTTAGAAGGAATAAAAAAAATAAAAAATATCTGAGCGTCGTAGACCATCTCATTCTCGCAATGCACAACAATATTCATCAAGGTTTTAATTATGACATTCTTCATACGTAATTCTTTTTTTTTTACTCGCGTATGTCTTTCTTCGTTTCTTCACAACTGTTTGAGCACTTATTATCATCATTCCGTTGTAATGTGCACTTACCTATATACAATTCATTTTACAAAAGTAAAACCACAAAGAAATAAGGCTAGTTACTATTCAATATTGATGAACAAAAAATAATCTAAAGATATATGACAACCTACCTTAACAAAATGAAGTTTAGGAGTTCTTTGTCTAATGGCAGTAAATTCCTTTCAACAATTGTAAGGGAGAAGTTTAAAGTTAATGAAATTTTAAAGTGACCAGTTATATTTAATTTAGGACTTTATATAATTTTTAAATAATCAATACATCCGTAACTTATTTATTTAGTTGACTTCTTGAAATTTAAAATGAATTGGCTAATAGTTATCCAATCCTTACTTTTAGCAACATGGCAAAGGAGTTTTAAAACTCCCTATTTAATTGGATAAATGTTCTTTTAAAAATAAAGATTAATTTTTTTAAAAAATTGTAATTTTGCAAGTGTAAAATTTGTTATTTTTTTTACTGTTTGCAAATTTTATATCCATACTTTTTTTAGTGTTTGCAACTTTTAACTTCTTTGTCTTTTCACATTTTTAAAAGTTAAAAATTAGATAGATATAGATATATAGATGTAGAGACTAACACTTAAGATTATATTAATTGCTAATATATTTCTTTGGTACAAAATAAATATAATTTTTATTAGTTTTCTCATCGAGGATTTTATATATAAATGAATTATTATTCTTATTATATATAAAATATTAAACATTTTATATATAAATGCAGTAATCTATTTATTTAAAATAATAGTGAATTATTATTTTTAAAATATTGAATTTAGAAGTGTGGAAAGATAGTTAATATATTTTGCATTAAAAATGTTTTGTGTTCTTAAAACAAAATAAATAGATAGTGAAAACTTTGTAAATCCTAGTTTTTAAAAAAAATAAAATTGAACTCCAATATTTTTTAATCTTTTAAAATTATAATAATAAATACAGTTATTCCCTAATTTTAAGAATTGATTTAAAATAATTTTTAAAAATAATTTTATTTATTTAAAAAATCAACATTTTTAGCATTATCTTAAATATTTATCATGAAAGTAAATTTTCAACTTTTTTTTGAAAAAGAATTTTTTTTTTTTACTGATTGATAAATTGGATTTAAAAAATATAAAATGTGTTTTAAAAAATGTTGACAGTTTTCATTATTTGTGTATTGGCATGTGTATATTTTTATTTGAAATTTTGAATTTATAATATTTAATTATTTATTATTTAAAATTTAAAAATTTGTGGCGCTGACATGTGTTGTTTTTTCTTCTCCTATTATATTAGATAGATTCTCAATAACAGAAAAATTGTCTATGCTTCCAATTAAATGTAATTTTACTGATTGGCCAAACA